GTGGCTCATGCAGAATGGCCCCCAGGGCAGAACACAGGTGGTGACTGACCTTAGCCTGCACTACCCAGGATACCCCAGACCTTGAGCACTGGATCAGTAGCAACAGAGTTCCCCTGCTGTCAATAGTTGAAATGACAAGTGAGATGTTCACCCTGACTCAGATTTACACTGCACATATTTTTACGTATTTTCCAAGTTCAAATTACAGTTCCAGCATTGTCTTTCAGACTTCAACACACATACAAAGGAAATTTCCATATTTCAAAATACAGGCATGCCTTGTTTTATTGCACTTCATTTTATTGTGCTTCACAGACATTATGTTTTTGGCAAATTGAATGTTTGTGGCAACCCTGCATCAACCAGGTAAATCACCCTCATTTTTCCATCAACATTTGCTAAGTTCCTGTTCCTATGTCATTTTTTGGGAATTCTTGCAAGTGATGTTCCAAATTTCTACAATTATAATTTATTATGGTGATTTGTGATCAGTGATCTTTGATGCTATTATCATAATTGTTTGGAGCCACCATGAAACATGCCTATATAAGACTGTGGACTTAATTTATAAAACTTGTTTGTGTTTTTACTGCTTCATTAACCAGCAGTTTCCCCATTTCTTTTCCTCTCTTTGGCCCTGTTCCCTGAGACACAGCAATATTGAAATTAAGCCAGTTAATAACCTTACGATGGCCTCTGAGTGTTCACGTAAAGAGGCCATTGTAGGAAGAGTTGCACACCTCTCACTTTAAATAAAAAGTAAGAAATGTTTAAGCTTAGTGAGGAAGACATGTCCAAACCCAACATATGTTGAAAGCTAAGTTTCTTGCACCAATTAGCCAAGTTGTGAATGCAAAGGGGAAGTTTTTGAAAGAAATTAAAAGTGTTACTCAAGTGAACACACAAATCATAAGTTAAACAACTTTATCACTGATATAGAGAAAGTTTTAATGTCTGCATAGAAAATCCAAACCAGCCACAACATGGCCTTAAGTCAAAGCCTAATTCAGAACAAATCTTGTCTTCAATTCTGTGAAACCTGAGAGGGGTGAGGAAGCTGCAGAAGAAAAGTTTGAAGCCAGCAGAGGTTGGCTCCTGAGGTTTAGGAAAGAAGCCGTCTCCGTAACATAGAAGTGCAAGGGGAAGCAGGCGCTGATGTAGAGGCTGCAGCAAGTTATCCAGATGATCTAGCTAAGGTAATCAAAGAAGGCGACTACATAGAAACTATTTTCAGTGCAGATAAAACAGCCTCATATTGGAAAAAGATGCCATCTAGGACTCTCATAGCTAGAAAGAAGTCAATGCCTGGCATCAAAACTTATAGGACGGGCTAACTCTCATTAAGGCCTAATTCAGCTGTTGACTGGGGGCCTTGAAGCTAAGGCTCATTTACTGTTCTAAAATTCCTTGGTGCACTTGAGAATGATGCTAAATCTACCCTGCTGGTGCTCTGTCAGTGGAACAACAAGACTGATGACAGCACATCTGTTTACATCTTGTTTTACTGAGTATTTTAAGCCCATTGTTGAGACCTAGTTACTGCTCAGAAAAAAGAAAAAAAAAGATTCCCTTCAAAATATCACCACTCATCGATAATGCACCTGGCCACCCGAGAGCTCTGATGGAGAGGTACAGTGAGTCCAATGTGGTGTTCATGCCTGCTCACACAACATGCCTTCTGCAGCCCACGCATGAAGGAGTGATTTTGACTTTCAAGGATTTTTTTTTAAATCACAGTTTACATTCAACATTATTTTTTATTAGTTTCAGGTGTACAGCATAGTGGTTAGACAATCCTATACTTTGCAAAGTGTCCCCCCTCATATTTCCACTTCCACTTGACCCCATACATATGCAATATCACTGACTATATTCCCTATTCTGTACTTTGCATCCCCATGACTATTCTGTAATTCCCAATCTGTACCTCACTCACTTCACCTTTGTTCACCCAGTCTCCCATCAAGTCTTATTATTTTAAAAGATACATTCCATAAGGCTTGTGATTCCTCTGCCACAGATAGTGATTCCTCTGATGGATCTCAGCAAAGTACATTGAAAACCTTCTGGGAAGGATTTCCCATTCTAGATGCCATTAAGAACATTCATGATTCATAGAAAGAGGCCAAAATAGCAACATGACTTTGAGGGGTTCAAGACTTCAGTGGAGGAAGTAACTGCAAGTATGGTCCAATAGCGAGAAAGCTGGAATTAGAAGTGGAGCCTGGAGATGGGACTGAATTGCTACAATCTCATGACAAAACTTTACCCCATAAAGAGTTGCTTCTTGTGGACTAGCCAAGAAAGTGGAATCTACATCTGGTGAAGGTGCTGTGAAAAGTATCAAAATAAAAACAAAGGATTTAGAAAGTTGTGTAAACTCAGCTGACAGAGCAGCAACAGGGTTTGAGAGGATTGACTCCAATTTTGAAAGAAGTTCTATTGTGGAAAAATGCTATCAAACAGCATCACAAGCTACAGAGAAGTCGTTTAGGAAAAGAAGAATCAGACAGTGCAGCAAACTTCCTTGGCGTCCGTCTTATTTTAAGTAATTGCCACAGCCATACCAGCTTTAGCAGACACCACCCTGATCAGTCGGCAGCCGTCAACACTGGGGCAAGACTTTCCAACACACACACACACAAAAAAAAAGAGTATAAATCACTGAAGGTTCAGATGATAGTTAGCCTTTTTTTAAGCATTACAGTATCTTTAAACTAATGTATGTACACTGTTATTTAGACATATGCTATTGTGCACTTAATATACTGCAGTACAGTGTAAACATAACTATTATATGCACCAGAAAACCAAAAAACTTTGTGTGACTCACTGTTCTGTGTACCCAGTAGGCTGTGGTGGTCTGGCACTGCACCCGCAGTACCGCGGAGTGTGCCACGCATTCACCGTGCAATCAAGGAGATTCCATTAAGGTTTTAATGGGAGGTTTTGTAATGTAATGGCATACTAACCGGAAAATATCAAAAGAATTTAATAGAATTCTGTGAGATGAATGTGCTCAATTAAAATTATAAGCTCATATTGGGAGGTATGGACTTCTCTGGTGATGGTTGTACAGTATTATGAATATACTAAAAAAAAACTAGGAATACACTTGAAATAGCTAAAATGGTGAATTTTATGCTATGCGAATTGTATCTCAATAGGAAAATTATAAGCCCCTGGATTCATAGTATATGGCAGTACCGATCAGTGTGCAAGACTTTTCCAAAGAAGAAATACAGAGAAATATCATTACAGGTCCGCATTAACAATGAGCATTTGCAATTGCTCATTGTTGGTAGATATTGTTGTTGATATTGATGGTAGAAAACCACTTTGAACCCCAGTTAAGCAAGATGTTATTTTTTAAATTCCATTCTTATTAATAGACTTGTGTTACAAAACAAATTTTACTCAATTATTATTAGTATATATTCAGTTTTATAAATTAAAAATTGTGTGAAAATTTGTTCTTTCTTGCTATGTACCTACATAATATCCTCGATTTTGCCTCTTAGCTCACAAAGCCTAAAATATTTACTATCTGACCCTTTACAGAAAATATTTATTGACCTTGTCTTGGGTAAATACACTAATGATATTTACTAAAAGTAGAATTTCCATTCATGGAATGTTCTTAACTGTTTATTCCTAATTTAGGATTGCTTAGAGAAAATTACCTAGAACCTATGGATTTATAAATTCCTAGACTCTAAGGCATAAAATGGTGATGTGTCACAACTTAAACACTCCCCATGGTGTGAGGTGACCCCCAAACCTCATTTAGAGACCTCACCTGTTACTCTAGACCACAGAGAACCTCTATGGTGAGAGAAGGAAGGACCTACAAGCCAGCCTGGTCCCATAGGAGTCTTAGACCTCTCTTTGCTCTGCCTGTGCCTCTTGGTTGCTTGTGTCTTTGAAATTACTACTAAAGCTTGATACTAGGTAAGATCTCTGATATTTGTGAATCAGTCCTATATGTTAGCTCAAATACTGTTTATGTATTTGAAAACCTAAAGTTACTTTTCAAAGAGTCATAATAAACAATTCTGGCAAAACCATCCGAAGTATTGTTTTATGCTTGGGGTAGAAAATAATGAATTTCTCTTAAAATAAGTAAAAGACCATATTTTTCAACATAGTTACATAATGTAATTTGGTAAGGAACATATGTTACCTTCTGCTCAACAGTCCTCATATTTCTCGAGTTCCCTTTAAGTCCAGTCCCTTCTGTAATGTTTTATTATTTATAATTAAATGTATTCTCATGAAAAGAAACCAATATATGTAAATAATAAGGATGCTAAGACCAAATGTGCTGCATCATCTGTAGCAAAAGTTAAATTCTGTCATTTCAACCTGTGCTACCTAAGAGCTATCATCTGCTCTATCAGGTTTTGAAAAATGATTATCCCTTAAACTTTTTATAAAATGTGTTATCTTTAAGATATTTCCCTCCAATCGTTTATGGCACAATTCTTCTTAATTTTATGCAAAAGAAAACTTTCTATCTCAAAACTTTCAAGTTTTCAGGGGGAAAAACAAACAAACTTCTGAGTAATTTATGATCTACTTCGGAATATTTTGGTCCTAATGAGATCTGCTATTATTAATGTCTTTTTCCTAAAGATTTATAACTTCAGTCCTCTGTAATATTTTTGTATCAACTTATAACATCTCTATTTTGTTTTTTAGACTCCTCATAACTGATTACCAAGAACACACTTGTACATATGAAAAAATTTTAAATATTTGATTTTATAAGTGACAACTCACTTTATATCACATGGAAACATGATGTCATGATGATGGTGATGATGAATTTGAAAGATTTAAATCAAATGAAAATGTGTGCTAAATTAGTCAGTGGGAAAAAATGACAGGAAACATCTAGTATTAGTAGTTACTAACTGGAGGAGCTAGTGCCATTATGAAACATACAGTTGTAAATATAATATGTATCATTCTCTTTGTTGTTTTTTTTTTTTTTTAAGGAAGAACATTAACCTTAGGGTTACATCTGGAATAGCAGCGTCTACATGGGCATTCCTTCTACAATTTCAGAAAACTTTTGGTAACTAATTGATAAAATGCAGACGATCTTGCAAAGAGATGAAATTACTGATACCCAGGCTCTTAGAAAAGGAAAGAGGAAAAGGACAGAGACCATGGATTCAGAGAATGCAAACAGTGACATGGACAAAGGACAGGTCAGTGTTCTGCTGCTTTGATAGAATTTTATTTTGTCTAGCTCTACAACAATCCCATAATTCCTCTCATAACTTACTAGTACTCTCCCTTGTTCTATTAATTTATTCTTTCTTTTATTTTTTTTATTTAACCAGGGAATAAAATTGCATGTTCTTTTTTTTAATGTTGAACAAGTTGAATTAGAAACATACTCAAAAGACATTTTACCTGCTTCTGTATAAGAATGGCCAACTATGCCATTGTTTAAACTTTCCTTAATATTGTATAAAATTAAAGGTCAGAAAATATTTTTTCCTTTCAAAATACACTAGAGAAACTGAAATACCTCTTCTTTAACATGTACTGTCTTCTTTTTCTTTTTTTTTTCTTTATTTCTTTTTTTTTACTACATTTTGTAGCCCATCTTCATCACTGGTTTGGTCAGGGTATCTTTCCTACTTTTTATTTATTCATTGATTCCGTTGTGAGCTGGAGTGTCACTCCCACTCTCCTATGGCCCTGAACAACCTATCAATGTATTTATTCTGTATCTTTTTGTTTGTCTTTTTGTTTGTCTACAGAGACATATTTGCGTATATCTCTGTAACACATATAGTGTTTTATGTGCATGTATGCTTAATTTTTTAATTATATACTATACATTCTCATGGATTAAAATAGTTTTACTCTTTCATGAATGGGTCTAGAGGCACTCAGAATGGTCCAGCATTTGACACACTGTATTAGGCTGTATTCTATAATACAACCTCTAACAAAACTAGGCTGTCTGGGAAAATAGAATTATTTACCTTTATACCAAGAAGGCTGGGAAGCACCAAAATGCACCCCTGGCGTGTGCCCAGGCAAATTGGAAGGAAGGAGTGTGTGCCCTGAGACCTAAAGCTCTTGGCAGATTGTCTAGAATGAGACAGCAGTGCCTCTGGGGGTCCCGTGTGTGCGCAATGTGCCTGGGGCAGGCTCGAGTGGCTGTTTCTGACTGAACGCACAAGCACAGAATCAGAGAATTCAATTAAAAATAAAGCATTTTGAATAATTAAAAAAAATTAAGATTTATATAACATACATATTTTAAGGTAAACAGGGAAAAGTCTCCCTCCCTTCCCAGTCTCCCTACTCAGGTAACCACCTTTATTGCTTTCTTGTTTTATCCTTTTGATGTTTCTTGTTCAAATAAAGCACACATGAATATAGACTTTCTTATCCCCTCTTTTTTAGAAGAGGTAACTTACGAGACCTGCTGCTCTGTTCTTTGCTTTTGTTACTTTAATATATTTTGAAGATCCTTCCACTAGTACATAAAGAACTTTCTCTTTGTACAGCTCCATATTATTCCACTGTGTGTATGTACCATTCTTACCATTCTTTATTTAACTAGTCCCCTATGATAGATATGGTTTGTTCCCAATTTTATTTATTTTTTTTTTACAAATCACGTGTCACTATACAATCTTATGGATGCATCATTTGGTACATCATTTAGTAGTATGTTGTTTTTATGCGCCTCAATCTCTTTCTGGTTTTTCAATTGGCCCTATTTCTAGCATCTGTCTATACCACTACCATATATCTGATCTGCTATGTCTAACCATAGCACCATATTTACTTATACTTTCCTCCAATGGTGAACACTTAGCCTTCGGCATTTTGCTTCTATGAACACTGAAACAATAAATATCCTCATATACATTTTTTAAGAGACAGTATGAGAAGTTCTCTGGATTAAATACATAGGAGGGTGATTTGTGGCTCATAAATTATATGTTTATTTGTAGTTCATTTGACTAGATACCATAATGTTGCTTTCCAAAGTGTCCACACTGGTCTACAATGCCAGCAGCAGTACATGAGGGGTTCCTATATTTGTACTTCTCTACCAATACTTTGCATTTATATCCATCTTTCATATTTTTGAAAGTTAATGGGAAAAATTATATCTTGTCTTAATGTGCTGGTGCAGGTTTGGGGGACCCATGGTTCCTTGAGGGGTAAAATAGTCACATGCTCTTATGGGCTAGTATTGTGATTTCTTCAGCAATTTGTTTCTCTCAAAAACTTAATAGCGCCTGACCAGTGTGGCTCAGTTGGTTGGGCGTTGTCCTGCAAAGCCTCACTGGTTCAATTTCAGGTCAGGGCCCATGCCTGTGTTGTGGGTTCAGTCCTGGACACGGTGCATATGAAAGGCAACCGAAGGATGTTTCTCTCTCACACATTGATGTTTCCCTCCCTTTTTTTTTTCTCCCTCCCTTCCCCTCTCTCTAAAATAAATAAATAAATGAAATATTAAAAAAAAAAAAAAAAAACAGAATAGCTTTCCAAACTATTTATTCCACTTTGGATCCATCACAAGCAACTACAGCCACAGATCCTATTTGGTCAAAAGTAAGCCCGGACACTCCTCTTTCACTACCGCGTCTGCACTCAACCTCTTTTCTCTCCGAAGCAGCCAGTTACCTAAAGAGCATGCGAAACAAAAGGCTTGAAGGTCACACACTGAATGTGATGCTTCCCTTTGGAAATGATCTCAGTGTCTAGCAGAGAACTTAAACGGAAGTTCTTTAAAAAGCCTGAGGTCAGAGTCTGACCTCCAGCTATTTAAATGTAGAGGTAATTGGCTTTTCCCAAGCCTTGAAGATTTAACACGAGTAGACTCTCAGTTGATTTAGATGGCAGGCTGCATTCTAAATACAGATAGAAGGAGAAAACCAGTTCACCTCTGCAAACTGGCCAACCCTGACAAGATATACATAAACGTTCTTTTTTCCAGACTCAGTAAGCCTTCCAAAGTATTCCAGGTGAGGGTTTTACTGAATATGTCACCAAGGTCTAACAACAGTTTTCCAGCATGTCACACTTACGTATTTTTGCCCACAAGATGACCCCTCTCAGGTTTGGGCTATCCTGCTTCTAGGCATCCAAGTCTGGACTAGTTATTACATGGGTTGAAAAGGCTGTAACAAAGACCCAAATACAACAGTGGCTTATATAAGATGGAAGTTGATTCCTTTTCACACAACAGCCAGAGCAGTCAAAGGTTGGTACGGCAGCGCCACCATGCTGAGGATCCCTCCAGTCTTGTTGATCTGCCTTTCTCAACACACAGCCTCGATCTCTGGGGCTAAAGTGACTGCTGCAGCTCCCACAGTCATGGCTTACTCTCTACCAACAGGAGAAAAGGGAGAATACAGCAGGAGAAGACCTGCTCATTCCTATTAAGGTCATGATGCGGTTGTGGTACACATTGCTTCTGCTCGTATTTTATCACAGGAACTTAGCCCTGTGGCTGCACTGAGCTGCACGGGAGTCTGAGAAATGTAGTCTTTAGCTGACAGCTACTGGCCCAGCTGAACACCTATTACTGAAGGAGAATCTGAGAGTAATACCTGGACGTAGCTAGCAGTCTCTTCCCTGTCCATTTTTCTGTTGGGTTCTTATTCTTTTTTGTTAGATTTCTTAGTCTAGTCCAGTGGGTTCCCATTCTGTTCTTACTGATTTGCATAAATATTTATGATAGAAATTAGTATATACTTTGTGGTTTTAGATTTCACAAATATATTCTCCTGGTCTGATAATTTGTCTTTTAACTTTATGTCTTACATTGTTGCTTGTCAGTGGGTAGGCTTTTGCTTGATTTTTATTTCTTTCCTGTAGGTACTTGCTAAAAGTGGCAAAACTAGACTATACATTCTAATTATTTTAATTACAGCAGGTCCTTGAATAATGTTATTTCTTTTAGCATTGTTTCATTATAACATTGATGAGATGCTGTAGGAACTTAACTCTCATTTTTATCAATTAGCTTGTGGTAAAATGGGTTCTGTTGTATGTCATTGCACTTAAAGTTGCACAACCCATTGACAGTGTTAAGTGAGGACTTACTGTACGCTCCTAGAACTATGGTCTCAATAGACATGCTTGAGTTTTAAAAAATTCTTCATTTCTGTTTAATCATATCCATTTTTTTTTCTTTAGGATTTATATATCTAGAGTCAGTACATTAGCTACTGGCCCACATACAATAATAGTAATTTTCATTACCATTTTATATATACATTGAGGTCTGTCCAGAAGATATCCAGCCATGTGACATGAAAGATAGATTTACTGAAGAAGATACAATATACAAGAACATTGTACATAAAATAATGACAGCTCAGTCCCCTTCAAAGCAGGCACCTTGGAACCTCACACAGTTCTCCCAATCGCCATCAGCTGCCCTGTCTTACTTTCTTTTTTTTTAAATTTATTTTAATTGGTGTTCAAGCACAGTTCCCTGTCTTTTACTCCCATCCCAGCCCACACCCCCAGTCTGTCTTACTTTCTTTAATCTCATTGATTATCTGAAATCTCTACCCTTTCAAAGATGACTTTAGTTTTGGGAAAAGCCAGAAGTCACAGGTACCAAATCTGAGCTCTAGGGGGCCTGAGTCTCCTGGGTGGTTTGATGTTTCACCAAAAAAACTCTGCACGAGGCATTTACATGAGCAGGCATGTTGTCAGATGAAGCTGCCAATCACCAGTTGCCCATAGCTGTGGCCTTCTGAATCATCAGAATAGTTTCTGTAGAGGAACGTTCAAGCTTAATGCAAAATTGGATGCAGATTCATTGTTCAACTTGCTCAGTCATTTTAAATGCAACAGCCACAAAGTACATATTTTCACTCAGTGGCATCTACTGCCCCACTTACCAGTACAGTGAAGGTGTCTTGGTTCATGTATGTGCATTCCAGTCCACTCTCCAGGGCTGCCAGGTTACATAGTTGTTGTGTACGCCATTTACATTATATTAACAATGGCTGGACTTTTTCCAGACAGACCTTGTATAATATATGTCACCTATACAAGTATATGTAATAATGAATATATATACATATACATATACTTATATATTTATAAAATAAGGAGTGAGGGTAAATGCATATATTACAAATCATGCAAAAATGTAATTGTATTTCCTAAAATTGGTCTCATCTGGCTTTCAGTTGTCCTTCCCTGCTTGATAAGGAAGGAAAGAAAGAAAAGCTTAAACTTGTCCATTCACAGTGAATGACAGAATGTTCTGGTTTTTAAAAGTTTCTTTGAACCATTAATATAATTTCAGTCACTTCAGGATTTAAGCCTCTGTGGATCCTAGATTCTGCCTTCCCCACTTTCTACTTTTTTCTCCTGGGAAGTGATCCAAGCAAGTCTTCAGAAATCTACATACCCCAGCCTCTGGGCAGGGGTAGCTGGTTTTCCTCCAAGGTTCTAACTTTCCTGACTGGTTCCCAGATGTCCAGTGCTGTCACTGCTGAGTTACAGGCAGGCCTCCTAGGTTCTTTAGGGGTTCTGTTGGCACCTGCTACTGAACTTTGCCATCCTGGCACCTGCTGCCATGTTCCATAAGGCTCTGGCACCCAGTGACCTTTCTGTGTACATACTAAACTATTTCTGTTTCACCAGTTTCCCGCGCACTTACCTATTTCCTGACCAGGACACTGGGACCATTTGGATTCTCTAGCTGTTCTGCATGAGCTCTGGGGAATCTGGATGCTGTCTCAGGTCTGCTTGTCCAGATGCTAATTTTGGCCATTTCTCATCTACAGCCCAGAGAGGCGCTGTGTTGCCCTAATGTTATGCTGAACAAGGAACCTCTTTAGGGAGTTTATAATGGACTGAGAAGCAAGGGCCAGCCCTGCTGCTCTAGAATTGCCCCTTATTTATCTGGATGTTTATATCGTATGTCCCTACCCCTATAATCTGTCTTCCTTCATCCCAAAGGGCAGTGGCAGGAAGATCAAGGACAAGTGAATCTGATATCCTGACACTCCAGTTCTTGATTCCCTAGACTCCATTCCCTGGCACCAGGGTGTCTTTTCCCTTCCCATGCAGCAAGAACTTTCTTTTTTTTTTTAGTTATTTTTCAAGTACAGTTTTCTATTTCTCCCATCCCGGCCCAGCCCACCCCACCCCGTGCTCCCCACCTCCCTCCCATTTCCACCCCCCCTTACTTCTTGTCCCTGTGTCCTTCATACTTGTTCCTCCAAATCCCTCCCCTTTTTCTCCCCTTAAATTCCCTTCCCTCTCCCCTCTGGTCACTGTCCCCTTGTTCTCTATTTCAGTGTCTTTGTTTTTATTCTGCTTGCTTGTTTGTTTTGTTGTTTAGCTTCCTGTTAAAGGTGAGATCATAGGGTATTTGTCTTTCAACACCTGGCCTATTTCACTCAGCATAATGCTTTCCAGTTCCATCCATGTTGTTGCAAAGGGTAGTAGCTCCTTCTTTCTCTCTGCTGCATAGAATTCCATTGTGTATATGTACCACAATTTTTTGATCCATTCATTTACCGACGGGCACCTAGGTTGCTTCCAACTCTTGGCTATTGTAAGTTGTGCTGCTATGAACATTGTGGTGCATAGGTTCTTTGAAATTGATGTTTTAGGATTCTTAGGATATAATCCTAGCGTGGAATTGCTGGGTCAAAAGGCAGGTTGATTTTTGTTTTTCTGAGAAAATTCCATACTGTTTTCCATAATGCTTGTACCAGTCTGCAATCCCACCAACAGTGAACTAAGGTCCCCTTTTCCCCACAACCTCTCCAACATTTGTTGTTTGTTGCTTTGTTTATGATAGCCATCCTGACTGGTGTAAAGTGGTATCTCATTGTGGTTTTAATTTGCATCTCTCTGATAGCTAATGATATTGAGCATCTCTTTATGTGTCTCTGGATCTTCTGTATGTCCTCCTTGGAGAAGTGTCTGTTCAAGTCCTTTTCCCATTTTTTAATTGGGTTAGTTGTCTTCTTAGAGTGTAGTCATGTGAGTTCTTTGCATATTTTGGAGATTAAACCTTTGTCTGAGGTATCATTGGCAAATATGTTTTCCCATACAGTTGGTTGTCTTTTTAATTTAATAGTGTTTTCTTTAGCCACACAGAAGCTTTTTATTTTGATGAGAGGAACTTTCTTTATTCATGCTTTTATCTCTTCTACTATACAGCATGTTTTTAAAAAAACTTTATACTATAAGCATCTAGGTTTGGATCTTTATTAGTTCCACTCTATGCTCCACTTTTTTCAGGTTTGGCTATATATAAATGACAGCTTGGTAATTGGAGACAATTCTTTTCTGTCTCAACACAGCCTGGGTGTTACAACTCAAGTGCATGTGTGCTATTGTCTTGCTATTGACCTTCAGAACCATTTTAAAACTCAAAGGCAAACACAAATGCTTTTTTCTAAGTGAATCTTGTCTTTCCTTTTTCTGATGCAGTAAACCCAAATTTGTCTTCATGGCAACAGAGAGGGTGTGAATGAGAAGTAGGGGAGAAATGAAGAATGGGGATGAGTTACAAAGATCTGAATGGTAGAATCTTGTCGATTCTACTCTGTTAAGACTATTTTTCTACTTTATATTTCTCACAGAAGCTAGGCAGAGAGTCAGAATCCTGATTTCTGATTTTCACAATACATGTGCATAGAAGGTTGATGTTCTTCCCTTCTTCTGAGTTCCCCGGACAGTGAAAGACAAAGCCAAGGCCACATCATTAGTTAGAGCCCAGCTCTTTTCTTGGGCAGAACGTGCCTGGGAGAGCAGGAATGTGTAGGTCCCTTCAGCGTGCAGGATGTAGGATGAGTCACTGACGTCACTTCCAAGCTTCCTTTATCATACCTGCCTTGTATTTTAGAGAGACCCATTTTCGGAAAACGCCTTTCTGCCTGGCGAGAGCTCCAGTGAGGACGAAGAGCCTTTAGAAGAATTGTCAAAGGAGGAATTGTGCACAAAAATAAAAAGCCTGAAACAAAAACTAACGAACATCCGGAAAGAAAACAGTCGACTTCGACAGTCGTTGGTCACGCTTCAAGGTAAACTTTGAGAAAATTGACATCTCTACATGAAAGGGAAAGTACATTATGAGTGGAAAATACTGCAAATAAGCTGTCAAGAGTGGAAAAGAAAATCAAGACCTCAGAGGGGAAACAATCATATTTTAAGAAAATCTGTGATTACATAATTTAATATGGAGGCACTTATTGAAGCTGCTAGTTTATTGTGTAGAAAGTTTTTAATTATTCCTACAAAATACCATGTATTCTGTTCATTTAACAATGTTCAACAGACATTTATTGAGCATTTAATATGTACACCACTCACTGGTAAGCCCTGGAGAGAAAAGATTAGTAAAACAAAACAAATATGTTAATGCGTTCATGATGTACTTGTCTCAATCCCCTTTGCTGAGGTAAACACTAGAAAATGGAGCCTGTTCTCATGCATTATAACAGTGATCTTCAACCTTTTTCATCTCACAGCACATAAACTAATTACTGAACTTCTGAAGCACACTAAAAATATATATGTATATATTTTTGCCTATCTGACAAAAATGAGGTATAATTTTGATTCATTCACACCAACCACTATTGTTGTGTTGGCTGTTGTCATTTCTTTACTTGACAGTCTAAGGGAAAAGAGGCCAGTGTCCCTGACTAAATAGTCAGTTATTGCATGTTTTAAAAATTCTTGTGCCATACCAGTGTACCGCTTGCAATTGGTTGAAAATTGCTACATTATAGAACTATTAGAATTAAAGAGTCCATATATTAAATGGCAGCTTTGGAGTTGGGAGGAGTGATTCGGAAAAATAATCACACTAATTGAAGATTTATTAAGGAGAAAGATCAGCATAAGTGAATTAAAAACCACTTGGCACAATGCCTTTCAGTAGGATTCTCTGTTGTGTTTAAGTGTTTATTCTTCAAATATTACATTTTCCATCTGTAGTTTAGCACCATGCACTATATTATACAGCTGAATAGTTGTAGATCCTATGGTGGGCAGCATGCTGTTGGAAACAGTAAATAGAACAGTTTGAAACAAAGCTCTCTGACTGCTGTGTACAGAATGAGTACAAGTGACAGCAGAAAGAAGGTGGGGAGGAACTTGCACTGTGTCGCGGTCATCCAGACTGACACAGTGGCAGCCTGGCCGGGGGCAGTGGCACTGGAAATAAACAGGACAGTTCAACAATATTTGTAGAGGCCGAAATGGTGAGACAGAACATGGTGATGAGTGAGAGTAATAGAGTAATGACCACTAGAATATTTATTAAAATATTTATTAAAACTATGAAGCCTTCATAGTTTTAAGTAGAAACAGCCACATGTGAATGGTTATATGATGCTTATAACAAGCCATTAGCTCTTTACTTTTTCAACTTGAAACATTGTGTTTGTATAACAGATGGCTTTCCCTGGTGAGGATTTTGGGATTTTAAAAAAAAAAACATCTTTGACTAGTGTGGCTCAGTGAATTGAGCACCAGCTTGCAAAGTGAAAAGTCACTGCTTTGAATCCTGATCAGGGCACATGTCTGTGTTGCAGGCCAGATCCCCAGTTGGGGGCATACAAGAGGTAGCATTTCTCTCTCCCTGCCCATCTTTTAAAAATAAATGAATAGAAAATTTAAAAACAATAGACACTGCTCATATTCATATAACCTGTTAATTTGTTTCAAAACCTAGAGTAAGATAAAAAAAGCTTTATAAACATAGGGTTAATATAAATTGTTGGTGAAAAGTATTGAGTTTGGGGTTACAGACCTTGCTTTGAACCCTAGTTCTGCTTACCAGCTATACGACTTTGGCCATGTCACTTTGTGTCCCCTCAGACCCAGCTTCCATGTCCTCATCTGTAAAAGAGAGGGTTTTTATGAGGGTTAAAATGAGATAATTGAAAGAAATCCCCAGTGTACCGTGCATGATAGGTGCTCGGTAATGGTAGTTATTATTATTGTCTGTGCCTTTACTGACACCAGAACTCGATATATAAACACCACCCAAAAAATTACAGGCCAACTTTTGTTATAAATATAGACGAGAAAATTCACATCAAAGAGTAGCAAATCAGTTTCAACAGTGTGAAAAGATTCATTTACGATGACCAGTTTCTCCTGTCTCCCACGCTCCGGGGTTGCCATTTCATTTCCTCCGCAGCTGCCAACTTCCCACACCCCCTCCCTTGTTCTCACTCTCACTTGATGACTTTGCTCCCTACTTCAGTGAGAAAGCGGAGGATATGAAGAGACTAGCATCTCTCTGTACTTGGGCCTGTAGCTCCCCGTTCTCTCCCGTCACTCACGAATGACCCACTCTCTTGTCCAGCCAAAGGCAGCACCTCCATCTCTGCATCCCTTCCCATCCTTTTCCACCTAGTCAAGGATATGGCTCCAGCGTTTCTCCTCACTCTCTCCTGCACAATCAGGTTTTCCTTCTGTAATGAATAATCCTCATTGGCATCAGACGTACTGTTATTTCTCCCATAAAAAAAGAAAAACCCTCTTTCAGGGTTTTGATTCTCTGTCTTCCACCCTATTTCTGTCCTTCTCTTTAAAGGAAAACTCCTTAAATGACTTGATTCTACACATTGTGTTCCGTTTTCCCCTTGTATTCTCTCTGGCTCTCACTTCAGTTAGGTCCTTACCGTTCCATTGTCATTTCTTTTCGTATGATCACCGCCAAGCACCTCCATGTATTAGTCCGCACTGGCTGCAGTGACAAAGCACTATACACTGGGCTTAGACAATAGAACTTTCTGAGCTTAAACAATAGAAATTTCTTTATTTTTCCCTCAGTTTTGGAGGACAGAGTTTGAAATCAAGATGCCAGCCCGGCCATGCTTCCTCAAAAGGCACTGCAGAAGGATCCGTTCAGGCCTCTGTCCAGCTCCTGGTCTTCCTGTGACTGGAGGCGGCATAATTCCGGTCTTCTCACGATGTTGTCCCTGTGCGCTTGTCTCTCTGCATCCTCACTTACCCCTTTCAATAAGGATGCCGGTCGTATCGGAATAGGACCCACTCTAAGGACCTCATTTTAACTTGATTACATCTGTAAAGACTCTATCTCCAACTTAGGTCACAATCTGAGGTACTTGGGTTAGGACTCCAACCCATCTTTTGGGTGGGACACAACTTAACCCACAGCACTCCATACCACTAATCCCAAAGGTCATTTCTCAATGGTCATCCTAGGTGCCCTGTTACCAGCATTTGGTACATTTGGCCACCTCTCCTTTCTTGAAAAAGTTTTTTTATTTGGCGTCTAGGATACCACATTCATTGGTTTTCTTTCTATACTGCTGAACTTTCCATTTCAGTCTATTTGGCTGATTCCTTTCATCATCTTACCCTCCAAATATTTGATGAAGCCCAAGGCTCCTTTTTCTCCTTTTTCTCTGCATTCACTCCATAGGTGATCCTGTCCGACCATATGGTGTTAAAATCCACCCGTAAGCGATGATTAGTGGCTTCCTGTCTCCAGCCTGGACTTCCCCCTTTACCTTTAGGCTCGTTGTCCAACTGCACGCTTGACATGACTCATCATCATCCCACACTTACATGTCCCAAGTCACCTTCCTGTCCTTCTCCTTCCATTTGTCTCTCTCATTTTTCATCTTGTTTGGTGCTTATTATATCATTCTAGTTTCTTAAGCCAAGAACCATGATGCTGTTTTCCATTTCTATATTTCTTGTATGCCATGCGCTCAGTCCATTGGTGAAGCCTACTGGCTTTACGTTCAAAACATTTCTGGAATACAGTCCTTTCGACCACCCTGACTATTGCCCCTCTGGTCCAAGCCACCACTGTCTCTAGATTATGATGGCAACTTCTTAGCTGGCATCATTACTTCTGCTCTTGCTCCTCTGTCATCTGTTCTCAATGTAGGAACAAGAACAATCCTACTAAACATCACTCAGTTCATGTCACTCCTCTCTTCATACCCCTTCAGTGCATTTTAATCTCACTTAGAGTAAAAATAGGAGTCATTTTTAAGATCTTTGAATCCTTGGATGATCTGGCCACCTCCTTTCCACTTACCTCTTTGGCCTTATTGTCTACTACTCTCTCCCCTTTTCTCAGTAATCCAGCAACACTTACTTTTCCTTGAAAACATCAGACATAATCTGACCTCAGTGTCTTTGTAATGGCCATTTCCTTGGCCTGGAATGTTGTTCCCCCAGATGTCCATGTGGCTTGTACTCTAATTTACTTCAAACCTTCACTCTAAATTCGCCTTTTCCCTGACCTCCTCCCTCCATCTAAAATTCCAACCTCTTTCCTTTCACTGTTTTGTAGCCCTATCCACTGCTTTGTTTCCTCTCTGGCACTTACAACTCTGTCTAATCGATTACGTATTTAACACTGCCTGCCCTCTTTATACATACACACTAGAATGTACCCCTAGAAACTAAGTAGTCAAGTTTTCTATTGGCTGGACTTCGGACAACAGGAAAAGTCAGTAGCTGCCAGCTGCCGCTGCAGCATTCGTGCATATGTTCATTCATTCTATAGATATGTATGAAGTCCCACTATATGTCAAGCACTGCTTTAAGTACCAAGGAGAATCCAGTAAATGAAACCAAGATTCTTGCTCTCACTGAGCTTACATTCTAGTGGAGTAGAACACTCAAAAATATTTTTTAGGCCCTGGCTGGTGTAGCTCAGTGGATTGAGCGCGGGCCTGGGAACCAAGCAACCACGGTTCGATTCCCAGTCAGGGCACATGCCTGGGTTGCAGGCCAGTTCTCTCCCTCTCTCCTTTCTTTCCCCTCTAAAGATAAATAAATAAAATCTTTAAAAAAAAAATTTTTTTTTAAATTAAGTAAATTATACAAAATGTTAGCTGGTATTAAGTGCTGTGAAAAAAATAGGGGTAGGGGAGAAGAGTTGGGATTTGAGAGAGAAGGAAGTGTTTTATAAATTTAAATGACATAGCATTAGTAGGCTGCCTTGTGAAGCCACAGTCAGGAACGAGGAAGGTACCAGGAAGTTGAAATTTCGTGGATAGTCCAATAAGAAAGGGGTCTG